GACCCATGGAGCACATCCAGCCTGTATTTCCCTGTCCAGCCAAAGGGGTTGGTTTGTTTTCACTTTGAAAAGTTACAGCATGATGAAGAATGCCAAGCTGTTGTCATAGCCTTGTTCTAGTTCCCTCCTCACTTTGTTGTTTCAGGCTAGTAAATAACTCGGTAGTGCAATGAATGTAAAAAGCAACAAAACACACCGATTTAAATGCCCAGCTTGCACAAGGAAACAGCAGGTTCTCCTTAAGAAGTGGCCACATAGGCAAGGAGAAGGTCCTCTGCTTATTGACCCACTCAATCCCAGCTTGGCCATCCTTGAGCAGGAGGATGCTCTTACCTTGGTCCTGAGAGGGGTGATGGGCACATCTTTAGTGGAGACACAGAGCAGCACGATGCCCGTCAGTCCCGCTACGATCACCAGCCAGGGGGGAAGCAGTTCACGCCAAGACATGAAGAGCTTTCTCCTTTCAGAGAGGCACAAGAGGAAGCAGTGGAGCAGTGAACTGACAGCGGCTGGCTCTACAGCCTTTAAAAGAGGAGAAAGGCGGAGCTGGGGCCAGGCTCTGGGTTCAGCCCAGCCCCAAGCCACAGGGACCACAGGGAGCGATGACTCAAGCCGTTCTTCTTCGATCCCTCCACACAGTAAATACAATGATGGCTTCATGCCTGTTCCAGTGCAAAGGCATCAGTGCAACCTCGAAACTGCCCAGGGCAACAGGGTTGAGGTAAACAGACCTGTGGGGTTAACTCAGCTGTGTGACGAGCAGAAAGCAGGCAGAACTCATGCGTTTGGTATTCTGCTCCTGGCAGTGCTGGCTGTCAAAACTAGAAGTGGGGAAACTCCTTGTTGCTGGGTTTACTTTAGATCCGAGGGCTCCAGGGTGAACCTGGGGTGCTTCTCCACAAGCACGTGTGCACCAGGCTGGGGCAGAGCAGTGTTCCTGCAGGCTGCTCCTGCCTCATATCAGATGGCACTTGGGACAGGAAAACCCCTGCACATTTGAGTTTACACCTGCAGGACACTCTGGCTGGTTTGGTCTTTGCTGTGGGTAGGAGACAGCAGGGGCTGCTTGGATCTCTTGCCCCCAGAAGGTCAGTGTCAGCATAGGTGTCTGTACACCCCTTCCCCCGCCTCCCCATGAAAGATAACCAACCCCCAGACTTTACAAAGCATGTGCCTGCTTTCTCCTTTCTGGTGCCACAGAGACACGTCCCCAAAACCAGAATTTCTGAAGAAAAATGTGCTGTTCCCAGGAGATGGGCTCCTTTCAGGCTGTCCCATCTGGTTCCCAGGAACTGGGTCTAGGAATAAAACTGCAACTCCTTAAAGAAAAGCTTTTGTGTGTGTGAGCTGGACCATTTATTGGCAAGGCCATCTTGTCCCCAGCAGAGCAGTTCACCATCCAGGTCTCTGTCTGCAGAACTAAAGGAATGACACCTTCTTGGTCTCTCAGGGTTATTTGGAGCTGCACTTCTCCATCTTAGAGTTGTTTTAAGCAAAGTGCCAGAATTCTCTCCTCTTCCTGCAGACTTTATACCAGTGTCGTGATGTATCATCAGAACCTAAGGGTTCTACCAAAAAGCTGCCAGATGCTGCTGTGGTCTGGCCAGTCCTGCTTTTCTCCCATAGAACCCACCCGTGTGCAGCTCAAACCGTGCAGGGGCTGCTTGGGCAGCTGGGACGTGAGCAGGCAGTGTGTGCTGCCAGCCAAAAAGCCCAACCATATCCTGGTCTGTATCAAAAGAAACGTGACCAGCAGGTCAAAGGAGGTGATCCTGCCCCTCTGCTCTGCTCTTGTGAGACCTCACTTGGAGTATTGTGTACAGTTCTGGTGTGCTCGACATAAAAAGGACATGGAGCTGCTGGAGCAAGTCCAGAGGAGGGACACGAGGATGATAAGTGGGCTGGAGCACCTCCCTTATGAAGACAGGCTGAGAAAGTTGGGGCTGTTCAGCCTGGAGAAGAGAAGCTGCGTGGAGACCTCATAGCAGCTTCCAATATCTGAAGGGGGCTACAAGGATGCTGGAGAGGGACCTTCATCAGGGACTGTAGTGGTAGGACAAGGGGTGATGGCTTTAAACCTAAACAGGGGAACTTTAGGTTAGATATAAGGAAGAAGTTCTTCACAGTGAGAGTGCTGAGGCACTGGAATAGGTTGCCCAAGGAAGCTGTGAATGCTCCAACCCTGGTGGCGTTCAAGGCCAGGTTGGACAGAGCCTTGGGTGACATAGTTTAGTGTGTGATGTCCCTGCTCATGGCAGGGGGGTTGGAACTAGATGATCTTAAGGTCCTATAACTATTCTATGATTCTATGGAGAGGGGAAATGTGGGACCAAAGGGCATTGTAGCAGCTCATGGTTGGAAATAGTGGAGAGCATCCATTCTCCTGCCTGGATATCGGTGTTCACAGGTGACTGTCAACAGCAGCCCAGCCTTCAATGGTTTGGGGTGGCTCCAAATCCATTAGGTTTTGCCAAGACAGTTATAGTAAGTGGTGCGAAGATGCCAAAGGGGTTTCTGAGATGGGTTGGACTGATGCAGCTTTAATACAGTCCTGGCCCCTGCCTGCAGCCCTTCTGAAGGACACATTAAGACTTATTTCCCCACTCTGCACCAGCTATTC